ATACATGTATAGATAAAATATATATTTTCCCCTTGTGATTGTCAGCTTAGGCACGTCGTTGGATCGGTGTATTGAGCGCTATATCAAAAAACGGATTATTATTATTATTATTAACATTTAAAATGGTCTAGTGAAGTCAGATAATATATCACGCAAACTGCGAAATTCGGTACCGGTGTTTTGTAGGGGTGTTCTTGTTACAATATCAGCAATCAAAAGAAAGAATGAGTGGAAGAAAAGAAAGACAGAGGGATATTTTGGTGTAGTAGATCGGCGATATGGTGTGCATTTTCATTTCTAGATCCACGATGCTCGTGTACAGTATTTTAGATACAGAATTGTCGGTGTGCATTTTGAAACCTCTCAAATTATTTAGAAGAAAGAGGGTAGATTTTGAATAAAATGATAAACGGGCGGTTTGCTCCTAAATACTTTTCACTTTTCGCGTAATTAGAAAATTATTTGAACCTTTCAAAACTTCAAAATTACTTTTGATGATTAACTTAATACTCTGTTCACATTGATGTATAGTTCATATGTATTGTAATATTTCATATATATTGTAACTTGTAGGTTTATTTGTAATTTTTGTTTTGTTTAATATGTATTGTTGATCATTGTTGATCATTGTATTTTCTTTGTTATAGCGCTTAGAGACTACGGTGGTAAGAGCTTTATAAGCACCGTTTTTATTATTATTATTATTATTATTATTATGTGTAACAGCCGTGTAATACAGGCAGGGCACCATACAGGCATTCACATGTCGTACACAATAATTGTCTACCTAAACATACCCTCACATATGCGTGTCTCAAGTTCACGCTCTGTATGGAATTCAATAGAGGAAGTATGCTAACCGCCCAACCCAGTCTTCATAACGTTCTAGGCCGAACCATACCAATAACATTCATGTTAGATACCGGAAAGGCAGTATCACTGCACATCTGCTTTATATAGCGTGTTCTTCATACTCTACTGCAGTCATATTATACAGGCGATTCTTCTAGGACATCATGTTTTGTTCGACTATCAGCCGTCTCTTCCTTTGCCATTTGGCAACAGTGTTAACACTCTATGCTGCTATATCGGTAAGTACAACTCCACCATTGTCGGGAAACAATGCGTATACCATTCTTCAGTTTGTGCGTATGACAAGGATTATAATGATGGTCATTCTTAGGAAAACATATGTCAAGGAATAAGAGCCAGGTAGTATAGTTTTTAGGAGATGCTTTTACTGACATAATATTAAGAGATAAGTGACGATGATATTGAAGTGTTTCTCCGACCCCATGTGTTACTTTATGCTGATTGCATCATAATAATGGCTGGATCTGCTGAAGAGTTGCAGTCTGCCTTATCTGCTGCATATTAGTACTGTGAGCTTTGGAAATTGTTTATTAATGCCAGTAAGACTACATTTTTTAAAATTTTCTCGCGAGGGAAAGTTCGCTAATACCCTGCATCTACTTTGGTGATAGTTATAAGATTGATTGTGTTGATGAATATACTTATCTTGGTACTACCTTTAACTATAATGGTACCTTTTGAAATGCTATAAATAAGTAGGTTTTACTCAAGCCAGGAGAGCCATGTTTCATCTTTCTTGTAAAGCTAAGAAATTGTGGTTACCAATTGACATTCAATATGAGCTCTTCGATCAATAATAGTTGTTCCAATTTTATTTTATGGGTGTGAATTGTGGGGGTTCGAAGACTGTATTGAAGTGTTTTTTAGGAAGTTTCTCAAACCCTGCTTAAATTGAACTGTGGTACTGCAAGTTATATATGTATATAGCGAAGTTTTTTAATTGTTGATCATTGTATTTTCCTTGTTATAGCGCTTAGAGACTACGGTGGTAAGCGCACCGTTTATTATTATGTGTAACAGCCGTGTAATACAGACAGGGCACCATACAGGCATTCACATGTCGTACATAATGTTGTCTACCTAAACATACCCTCACACACTGGCGTACTGGTGGGGGGGGGGGGCGCCAGCCCCCCCCCCCCCCCCCCAAATAAAATTGAATCATGACTTATTTTCAATTCCATATAAAAGTGATGTATAAATGTTCGTGATATCACATGATTTTCAACAAAGTGCGCGTTTCTCCATTTCTGTTGCAAACTGAAACATTCCCAAATGGCCAGGAAGAGCACATGATTTTTTTATAGTCACTAAGGGGCCGTGGCCACTAACAGTAACACTAGTAAAAGAAATTCTTTCCAGAAGCAACTGTGGCAGGCACTGCCAGGCGTTCCATACTTACATCATGTAACACTGCACATGTACCGTTGAGGGGCCCAGTGGGGAATTGAATTCAGACAAAATTAACAGTAGTGAACGGTACAACGAATCGTCTTCTTTCTCTAATAATTTAATGAAACGGCAAAGCTTCCGCGCTTCGGGGGGGGGGGGCAACTGAATTCAGACTAGGATTAAGAGTCGAGAACGGTTCGACAAATCGTCTTCCTTCTTTAATAATTTAATGGAGTGTCAAAGCTTCCGCACTTTGCGCGGGAGGGGGGGGGGTTGGAACTGAATTCATACAAGAACACGAAACAACGAATCGTCTTTTTTCTCTGATAATGTAATGAAACGTGAAAGCTTCCGCGCTTCGCGCGGGCTGGGAGAATATTAATTCAGACAAGGATTAAGAGTAATATTTTAATAAAATGTCAGAGTTTCCGCGCTTCGCGCAAAATGGGCGAAAATGTATTCAGACAAGGATTATGAGTCAGAACCGGTACTGTACAATGAATTGTCTTCTTTCACTAATAATTTAATGAAGTGTCAAAGCTTCCGCGCTTCACGCGGGAGGGGGGGGGGGGGAACTGGGTTCAGACAAGGATTAAGGGTAATAATTTATTGAAACGTCAAAGCTTCTGCGCTTCGCGCGAGATAGGCGAAAATGAATTCAGACAAGGATTAAGAGTCGGAACCGGTACAATGAATCGTCCTCTTTCTCTAATAATTTAATGGAGTGTCAAAGCTTCCGCACTTTGCGCGGGTGGGGGGGGGGGGAACTGAATTCATACAAGAACACGAAACAACGAATCGTCTTTTTTCTCTGATAATGTAATGAAATCTGAAAGCTTCCGCGCTTCGCGCGGGCTGGGAGAATATTAATTCAGACAAGGATTAAGAGTAATATTTTAATGAAATGTCAGAGTTTCTGCGCTTCGCGCGAGATGGGCGAAAATGTATTCAGACAAGGATTATGAGTCAGAACCGGTTCTGTACAATGAATTGTCTTCTTTCACTAATAATTTAATAAAATGTCAAGGCTTCCGCGCTTAGCGCGGGAGGGGAGAACTGAGTTCAGACAAGGATTAAGGGTAATAATTTATTGAAACGTCAAAGCTTCCGCGCTTCGCGCGAGATAGGCGAAGATGAATTCAGACAAGGATTAAGAGTCGGAACCAGTACAATGAATCGTCTTCTTTCTCTAAAAATTTAATGAAGTGTCAAAGCTTCCGCGCTTCGCGCGGGATGGGCGAAAATGAATTCAGACAAAGATTAAGAGTAATAATTTAATAAAACGTCAAAGCATCCGCGCTTCGCGCGGGATGGGCAAAAATGAATTCAGACAAGGAATAAAAGTAATGATTTATTGAAACGTCAAAGCTTCTTCGCTTCGCACGAGATGGGCGAAAATGAATTCAAAGATTAAGAGTAATAATTTAATAAAACGTCAAAGCATCCGCGCTTCGCGCGGGATGGGCAAAAATGAATTCAGACAAGGAATAAAAGTAATGATTTATTGAAACGTCAAAGCTTCCTCGCTTCGCGCGAGATGGGCGAAAATGAATTCAGACTAAGATTAAGAGTAATAATTTAATGAATCGTCAAAGCTTCCGCGCTTCGCGGGGGATGGGCTAAGATGAATTCAGACAAAGATTAAGAGTAATAATTTATTGAAACGTCAAAACTGCCGCGCTTTGCGGGAGGTGGGGGGAACTGGATCCAAACAAGAAATAAGATTTGAGAACGGTACAACGGATCGTCTTCTTTCTTTAATAATTAAATGATGTGTCAAAGTTTCCGCGCTTCGCGCGGGAGGGGGGGGGGGAGACTGAAAAATAACTCAGTTCCTGGCCCCTGGTTTATAAGGTTAAATTTATAAACATTTGGACATTGACATTAATATATTTGTCGGTAAGTGGTTGCTCGTTTTGTTGGTAATCGGTGGCCAAGGAATAAGAGTAATAATTTATTGAAACGTCAAAACTGCCGCGCTTCGCGCGGGAGAGGGGGGGGGGGGGGGAACTGGATCCAAACAAGAATTAAGAGTCGAGAACGGTACAACGGATCGTCTTCTTTCTCTAATAATTTAATGAAGTGTCAAAGTTTCAAATCACTACTCTTGGAAGGGGTAAGAGAAAGCAATTTACGTCATATTACTCCAGGAAAAGCCTGAAAATGCGTCTAATTTGGTTCTAAAATTGCAAATGCTTCTTACTCTGGAAGGGGGCCATAACCCCTTCCCAGACCCACCCCCGTTTGGTCGCCCCACTCCCTCGCCGCTGAAGCCTCGTTCTGTCGCTTCATCGTTTTACATATATTTAACCCCATGCCATTTTGTGCCCCCCCCCGGTAAGAAATTCCAGGATCCGCCACTGAAGCCCATACCCCTTGAGCTTCGGTGGCTCCGCCCCTTGACCCCCGCCGGGGCTTTGCCCCTAGACCCCACTTTGCGAAACGTTCAGCAGGGCCTGCATGTTAGAGTGGTGTGCTGCGGATTTTTTTTTGTCAGCCCCCCCAAACGTTTTTGCTCATTACGCCACTGCCCTCACATGTGCATTCCTCAAGTTCACGCTCTGTATGGAATTCGATAGGGGATGTATGCTAACCGTCCAACCGGTCTTCATAACGTTCAAGGCCGCACCATACCAATAACAATAGGGACTTTTAGATTCGCACGAAGATAATGGGGATTGCTACGATCGACGTCCTTTCAATGCACTGCCTTGAATGGAAGTCACACGTATCAGTCCACGCAAATCTAAAAGTCCCTATACAAGTTTGATACCGAAAAGGCAATATCACTGCACATCTGCTTTATACAGCGTGTTCTTCATACTCTACTGCAGTCATATTATACAGGCGATTCTTCTAGGACATCATGTTTTGTTCGACTATCAGCCGTCTCTTCCTTTGCCCTTTGGCAACAGTGTTGATACTCTATGCTGCTATATCGGTAAGTACAACTCCACCATTGTCGGGAAACAATGCTTATACCATTCTTCAGTTTGTGCGTATGACAAGGATTATAATGATGGTCATTCTTAGGAAAACATATGTCAAGGAATAAGAGCCAGGTAGTATAGTTTTTAGGAGATGCTTTTACTGACATATTACTATGAGATAAGTGACGATGATATTGAAGTGTTTCTCCGATCCTATGTGTTACTTTATGCTGATGACATCATGATAATAACTGAATCTGCTGAAGAGTTGCGGTCTGCCTTATCTGCTGCATATCAATACTGTGAGCTTTGGAAATTATTTCTTAATGCAAGGTAGACTAAATTTGTTATTTTATGTCGAGGGAAAGTTAGTTAATACCCTGAATCTCCTTTTCGTGATAGTAAGATTGATATTGTTGATGAACATACTTATCTTGGTCCAACCTTTAACTATAATGGTTCCTTTTGTAAGGCTATACATAGGCAGGTTTTACTCAAGCCAGGAGAGCCACGTTTAATCTTTCTTGTAAAGCTAAGAAATTGTGGTTACCAATTGAGATTCAATATGAACTCTTCGATCAATAATAGTTGTTTCAATTTTATTTTATGGGTATGAATTGTGGGGGTTTCGACGACTGAATTGACGTGCTTAAATTGAACCGTGGTACTGCAAGTTGTATAGGTATATGGCGAAGTTGGTAGATTTGCTTTGGCTAGTAAAGTGGAGAGACGTATGATACATGTTTGGGCAAGAGATACTCATAATAATAATAGATAGTTCTTATATAGCGCTTTTCAGGACCGAAGGCCCTCTCAAAGCGCTTTACAGATATATTTATATATATATTATTACCCCGGTCATCGGATTCAGGCCTACCCGCACACATTGTATGCACAGTTCGTTAATCTAAGAAATCTAAACTCTCGTGTATTATTTACAATTTGTTACGCAAACTATACGATAATTGTGATTTTGAATCGAATTGGACTACAAAATTAAATGTATCTTAGACGTGAGCGGAATCTCAAATTTATGGGTATAAATACCCCGTTAAACATAGAGTGGGTGAAATCATATATGGATCGTAGATTAAATGACATTGATTTGCAAAACTGGAATGAAGAAGTTAGCATAAATTGTTTTTGTTTCAATTACAGGATTTGGAAGAAATATATGTTAATGCTAAATACTCATTGCGAATGTAGTGTCGAAAATAATATCGCTAGTGATATTCGTTTGTCTCGCAATGTTTGGTCAACAAGGGATCTTAAACATAACGACGTTTCGAGCGCCGCTGCTACACTGCATCAGGTGATAAAATATATTGTAAGCAAGCGTGTTTTATATACAATAGACCTCGTCCGTCATTGTTTTAATTATTGATCGAATAAGTTTGACCGACGGTCCGCCCGTAGCCCGTATAAAACACGCTTGCTTACAATATATTTTATCACCTGACGAAGTGTTGCAGCGGCGCACGAAACTTTTACTTTTTGGATACTAAGACTGAAATCATTTTCGTATTCCTTACGTATGCAATTGATCTAGGCAGAAACTACAATGATATATTCCGTAAAATTCACTAATTCTACTTTTTCAGGAAGAAAAATGTCACAAAGGGTCATGTGACATAAAATGCCGCAAATCATTTTTGGATGTTAAAAGATGGGTAAAGTCCCCAAAAAACATGACATGAAACCGCGAGCTAGTAGCCAATAGTTTCCGGAGGGGAAAGGGAAGGGGCGTCCATCTTGCGCCCGCGATTATTGTGAGGTTGTTAATAATTTATAAGCATACATTTAACAAATCGATGCTTTCACTATACATAGAAGAAAACAAATCTTCACTGCACGGGAAGCCTTGAGGTAAAAAGAATAATGCATATTTCTGTGTGTTCTACGTGCACGTGAAATCAGTGGGTATATTGCGGAATTCTTGTACAAACATTTTTTTTTATCTCGATTTGAATGCCTATTGTTATACATGTTTATCATGCGTGATATCTTTTGTATATCATTCGTCATAATTCTTTTGAGAAATGCAGCACAAAATGATGATCCTACTAGTCACAGCTATGTTTATTTACTTGATCGTTGTCTAGGTCTCCAGATCTTTTGTTAAATTTTGGGGGCGAAATATTGTCTTGCTTTTGTTTGCTCATGACTCCTGGCAACTGGCATGACTGGCAACCCCAAGCTAGATGAAACGATAATGGTTTCACGATGTACACTAAAAGGGACTGCCGTATAAGGACGTCATACGTAGCAGTCCACTATGTCGACGTGCAAATCTTAAAGTCCCTATTGTGATCCGCTACTGCAAAAATCATTGTGCTGTAGGAGTCTCCGAACAGGGATTTCTTACTTCAGGGACCAACATAAGATTTATTAATGGTCTCATAATTTAAATCTATGAATACATCCCCTCGTTGGACGAAATTAGTTGAAATAATGCGGTCAAAAAGAAATAAAGTTTCCTTTTGTTTTCCCGCTTAATTTTACCAATTATTTGTTGATCCCTGGCATATTTGGTATTGGTACCGAAAAAAAGAGAAAAGCACGAAGATGTCAAATATGGCTATATATGGCGGTCTTAAATAAAAATGTAGTGAACGTGTACATGGGTTTTGGTGTGAAAATGGAACCGAATTCTTAACTTTAAACTTTAATACCTCGTAATGAACTGTCGGTGATTAAAAGCACGAAAAACGCAATAATTGCAATCACTTCCTTTGTATGAGGTATCATACTGAAGGTGATTTCTTACTTTATCCAGTGATAATAAAACTTTGGTTTTCCATTACCCCTTAAAGTGTTAGGTTTGCCATAACAGGTCACAAATAGCTCGGGATACGGAATCCGATGCAATGTATCCTGTGAAGAGGGACTCCCAGGTATGAGGAACAGAACATCTAGAGAAATAAAGGGGTGTACTTGAACGAAAACAAGGCATCCATTGGCGATATCCCTCTTTTAAACCACTTAACCGTTAACTGAAATAATGTTGCGCACTGATAGATTTAAAACCATGAATAAGAAACTCAGTTTATCATTGTCAAATGGTTGGTTGAATGTCTGGCATTTAATTTTCTTTTCATGAAAACGCAGATTTAATAAAATTATTTTAACTCTTTTCTGATTTCCTTTTAAAATCTGGCTTTTTCTTGACTGAAAAGAAAAGAAAAGAAAATTGCTCGTTAATTGAGTGAAACGTGGATATTTGAATGCCAGTGGGTTAATTGATTCTGTCAGGTTTAAAATAAATAAGTTACCCACGCGTCTGAGCTTTAGCCGCCGTGGATTAATATTTATCAAAAATTTGTATCTAGATCCGTATTTAATCACTAGGTAATTTCTCAGTCCAGTTATTCCATTGCGACAATAATACTTACAATGTACTAGAATCTGAATTGAATTGAAGCGAATTGCACTGATTTATAGTTTGACATACAGAACTGAAATGAATCCAAATCATTTATTATTCAATATTTTTGGCACAAACATGAGATAAATTGGTTATCAATTTAAATAAAAAGGTAAGGGATATATCTTGAAATTAGATGAAAACAATGTTAACGGTTAATGTATCGGCTCGGTGTAAAAATGTCAGAGGAAAAAATGTCAGAGGTAAAAATGTCAGAGGTAAAAATGTCAGAGGTAAAAATGTCAGAGGAAAAAATGTCAGAGGTAAAAATGTCAGAGGAAACAATGTCAGAGGTAAAAATGTCAGAGGAAAAAATGTCAGAGGTAAAAATGTCAGAGGAAAAAATGTCAGAGGTAAAAATGTCAGAGGTAAAAATGTCAGAGGAAAAAATGTCAGAGGTAAAAATGTCAGAGGTAAAAATGTCAGAGGTAAAAATGTCAGAGGAAAAAATGTCAGAGGTAAAAATGTCAGAGGTAAAAATGTCAGAGGGAAAAAATGTCAGAGGGAAAAATGTCAGAGGAAAAAATGTCAGAGGAAAAAAGGTCAGAGGAAAAAATGTCAGAGGTATAAATGTTAGAGGTATAAATTAAAAACAAAATCATGTGGCAAGTTTGTTATGGTTACACCCGGGTTATATATTAGGCCTATCGAAAAAGAACAGCGAGGGATATTCTGCAGTTGTTATTTCACCGCTGCTTTATTTTCCACTTTCCCAGTTAAATTTATTTACCTTTCGGCCCCAAATGGTGACTTTTTGCCCGATTATTGCCGAAGGAAGACGAGGGGGGGGGGGGGGTATTCTTCTTCTGGGGCACGGTGACCCGGCTGCTCCCCCCTTCCTCTTATATAATGCTTTGCTAATAAATCCTTCCGAACAGTGGTCAATGCCGAGGGAGAGCAGGCAGACTAATGGGACATGGTTTCTACTCCGAGTTTCGCGCCTTGCAAGCAATCATCAGGCAATTGATAGCATTCTTAAACATGATTATCCTACAACCTTGGTACAAATACCCCTAAAATAAGACTTAACTAATAAAATACAATTAGAATTACTCATGAGTAATTCTTATTATATTGTATTCAGGTATTGTATTAGTTAAGTCTTATTTTGAGCGTGTTTACCAAGGTTACAGAGGAATCATGTAAGAATGCTATCTTGTCTGATGATCGCTTGCAAGGCGTGAAACTCGGAGTAGCAACCATGCATGTCCCATTAGTCTGCCTTATTCAATATTTATATACCGGTATATTATGCTTTTGTAGAAGCCGCGCATGGTACTGGTACACTGAGCAAACTTCTGGGGAAAAAGATTTCTAAAATCGAGAAGTTTGGCCATGTTTTATAGGCTGAGTTGTCGCTCCATGCATGGTGTAATTATTAAATAAAAAGAAAAGTCAGTACAGCCCCAAAAATAGGATCAGATATCTATGAACCTCCCCCCCCCCCACTTCTCCTTCACTTTTGAAGATTGTTGGACATTTTAACTGCGTGGCAATGACTACTATTATATGTAATTTCCAATAAATGCATATTTCCGACAATTCCACTTTCTTGTGGGCTGGTATTTTGATACTCTGAAACAAAGC